GTGTACGTAGACTGTTTAATCCTTTCAAACTTTCATTTTATGTACAGTAAGCTAATGTATTTTAGCATTAAGAAAGTAAGTACAAATTAGCAGAAGGGTTGGAAAGCTTGATTCCTGAGCAGCAGTGATTCTTTTGGATAATGGGTTATTCTATCCCACAAGAATTAAGTCTCAATTGAGCCATTTGTGGGAAAGATTTACATATCAGGTGAAAGAAATACGGCTTTTGCTGACCAAATGTAATATCTAATCTTTCTACAGGCTCCCACAAGGAGGCAGTATTGCAGGAGATCTAGTTAAAGGAGCTTTGTCAGTTGCTGCCTCTGCCTACAAAGCATTATTCGCTGGACCACCCATTACAGAACAGGTAAATGTCTTTTTCCCATGTTCTGTATGAGTTTTACAGAATTCCAGCATTAAAATTGTAGGTGTTGGTACCTTAATAAAACATACATTCTCTGTATTGATGTTTCACAACACATTGCTGCAACAGTAAAATGTTACGCTTGGTGACATCCCTTGGAAGCATGGCACTCCCACAAGACGATGGAGAAGTCCATGCTGTGGAGATATAAGCATGTCTCTTTGAGCATAATGGAAAGTAGGTGCACATTGCTTCCTTGTGGATAAAAGGCCTCAGCGTCATCACTGCATTCCAGTATAATGCAGGACCACTGCTCAAGATGGCAAAAATAAGATAAACAATCTTTTCTCTCTTGTTTTGTTTCTATCAGCCTGCAGCCACAGAAGAGCACACTGCTGCTCTTCTATCCAGTCTGTGTGAGATGGGATTCTGTGACAGCCAGTTAAACCTGCGACTGCTGAAGAAGCACAACAATAATATGGTTCAGGTGGTAACTGAATTGCTTCAAATTAGTAATGGTGACTGGTATAGCAACAGATGCTGAACCTTCCTGGTGGAGGGATGAATCGCCTTAGTTGAGCAAATTCTCACTAAACGCTACATTAGCAGGCTGACCTTCAACTACTTTGGAGATATAGATAAAACTTTGACTTCTCTTTGAGCTTTTGACTTTTTCCTCTCATGGAAATGTCAAACAATGCTTATCAGAACATTTTACAAATCAGAGACAGAATTTCACCTTTACTTTTGCTGAAATCAGATGTATTGAAGTGGGTAACTTTATACTGAATCCTTTTTACCTGGAAATGTTATAGAATGACTTCAGCCTGCACACTTCCCCTTTTATTATATGTAAAATACTTTTAGGCAGCTGGGAGCTCGTTTTGTTGATTTCTAACACACTGTTTCCCGTTACAAAGTTTAAACTGCTTCTGTAAAATGTGGTCTTGTCTAATTTACAAGAGATACCTGCTACTTGGAGGCTGTTTCTTCTGATATGATATAGTTATCAATTTTTGTCCAGTTCATGATAGCAGTGTAACAGATTTAAACCTTACGAATCATTCTTGGGGGTGTGTGGGGGGAGGGTGTATTGGGAGGGGGGAGGGGAGAAGGACGTGTTGCTCATATGTTAAAATTAGTCTTGAACCATCAAATGACTTCTGAAAAGCCTGAAGTTAATTTGAACGGATGTATACCAGGAAAATCACCGTTTCTTGTAGCAGAATAAAGTGTAAGAGTTAATTTACCAGCAGCTATTAACTGTAACCATTTGTAGTAATTATAACAGTAAACTTATGTCTAACAAAAAATATAGCCTACATAAAATATTTTGTTAAAAATTGAGTTCTACTGTAGGAAAAACCTTTCGAAGAACCTTTGAGAAGGCTCTTTAGGGGAGGAAAAAAAAAAAAAAAAAAGGTGTAAAAACTGAACCCCTATGTTTTTTCTGTGTTGTCCAGACATCTTAATACTACATAAAGAGTTAGAGTGCATAAAAAGCCAAACTTGAACTGGAGTTTGAATTCTGGTCGCATTTGGGAAACAAACCCCACCACCACCTGAGGTAGGGGTTGTGCAACCTACCTTAATTTGAAAAATATAACTTAAGCAGTGTTAAATATGTAGTCTCTGGCAGTGGTTCTAGCTGCTTTTGTGTTTCTGTAAACACATCGATAGAATTTACTTTTTCTCACAATTTTTCCTTACATACACATAGTTATTTCGAAGTTTAAGAATTCCCTCCCAAACATCCTGAGAGGTGATTTGATTCTGAAGAATCGCAAGAAACCAGTTTCCATACGCTGCTGTGCAGTGGTGTATCTATAGATAATTGCTCTTAAAGTGACAGCAATGTTGACTACATTCTTTCTTTTGAGTAAGCTTCCTTAGTTGCTGCAGTAGGAGACCAGTGATCCTGAGATATAAATACTACTGCTGCTTCAAAATAAGGTGTTGTTATTTTGACACAACATAGCTGAAGCAGCTATCAGTACTCAGACTGATCAAATGATCAGTATTAGTTTTTTAAAGACCTAATACTCTCCATGGTAAGATACCATTAAAATAAGTGAAGAAAAATATGTATCATACTGTTTCTGTTTTAAACCTATTTTTATAGATTGTGGAAGGTAAACTCTTAAATGCTTATTTTGGAATACAGTAGGACTATTTTGTGGTGTATCACATCTGTCTGTACCCCAGTACAGCTATCTACTGTGGACCAGATAGACTTTTCTGTAAATTGAAATCATGGTATTTCTCACTATAACTCACACATACTGATTTGAATATCTTTTGGCTTGTGCTTACTGAGGAGGAGGAGAGGACATGGATAAATGTAGTAGCTGGTGAACTTAATCTGGTTGTCTGCTTTGATCTGTAATGTCCAGCAGCACTTGCTCTTTCTGTGTATACCCTCATACTTAAGATTTTAATGTGTTCTATAAATAAACAAAACACTATAAAATGTTTGAGGAAAAGCACTTCATTGCAGATTGAATTGTGAAGTGTGAAATAATGTTTTCTTTAGGTTACCTTTTACTAGAGGCTAGATAGTGTATGCTCAGGCTTAAGATGTATTTCTGTTGGCTTTGTATATTTTGTTAATGCATGGTATAATTTATAATATATTCTGTAGTATGAATATGACCTGTACCTTGTTTAGGATAAGCTCTTTAAATTCAACTGTGATGTAGGGGAGAGAAGGGTAGAAGACCATGTTTTCCTCTGACTTTACAATAAATCTCTTTATCTGGCTCGCTCTCATTGGCCTCTTTACAGGCGGCTGCTGTAGCTGGAGTGCTCAGCTGTGGCTGTTCCCCTCTGCCCTGGCAGCTCACTGCCCTGCCATAGCATTAGGACCCTGGCCAGGTGGGTGCCCTGCTTCTATATGCCTGCCCTGTGGCAGTGGTGGGTGATGGATAAGCAGGGGGAGGTGAGGGGGTGGACTGGAGTGACTCAGGCAGTGCCAACTGCGGGGATGCTGTGCCCTGTTGGGGCTGCAGGCATGGGGCTTCTGGGGCAGTACTGGACTGGGCCTAGAGAAGCCTGCTTTCAACAGGGGCTGAGTCTAACTTGGCCACTGCAGGAGCAGTCAGACCTGCAGAAGTTCATTGTGCCCCTGTGTACTGTTTTGAGGTTGTGAGGTTTCAGAGCTTGCATTATTAATTGCTTTTGTTTTCCTTGATGGAGCTGAGGCCTGGAGGAGGAGGTGGGAAGGAGCTAGTAAGCATTAGCTTTTTAAGTGTGAGAAGCTGCAGCTTCACTACCTGTGGCTTGCAAGAGACTGTAGTTATGGTGACTGTGCTACAGTAGTAATGGGACCCTTCCTGTGTTAGAGAAGCCCAAATCACTCGGGCATTCTCGTCTTTCCCTTCTACTTCCCTTGCATGCTGCAAGAGGGGGGAGAATACTAAGTTAACTGCATCAGACTGACTTGGGTCAGACTGTCCTGCGCACTCAGAAGTTCTAGGAGTACTCTAATGTACCTTAGAGGACAGGCCTTTGGAGGCCTCTAGGATACTAGGAGGAGTATAAAGCACTTCAGCAGATGCAGCTGAGCTCTGGGAGTTATGTATTTTATCTTAAAACTACACTGTGGTTCTTGGGAATTTTCAGTGTTGCTCTGGAAAGAGACCTGTGAGCACTGGGCAGTCCTTGAATTACAATAGAGCATACTGAGAAGAATCTAAGGCATCTGAGAGCACCCTGAGGAGCTGTGGAGGTACTGTAGGGTGCAGGGGCGTCCTTGGCCCTGTCAGTCACACTGAGAAACACTAACAGCAAACTGAGGAGCTCTTCAGTGCTCCCAGAGGCAGTACTTGTCCTGTAGGAGTTTAAAGGTACTGTGCTGTTTAGCTAGGTGTCCCCCACCACCCTACTGGGATGTAGCATGCTGGGGGCACATGTCTGAGCACAATGCATGCGTAGCTCTGTAAGGTGACAAGTATACAGCTAGGCCTGCAATTGTGCAACATCTGCTTAGCTCTCTGCGTATGTACCTGCAGACACTTGTATGCATGCATGCCTGCAGCTCTGCTTACCTCTTCGGTGGCAGCAAGGAAGGTCCTGGGGGTTAAGCATGGTACTTGTCCCCTGTACTCCCTAGTTGCAGTTGCGTTCCCATTTCTCTGTGCTTGGCCATAATGACACAAAATTACTCTTTTTCTCTAATTTCTCTTTAATAATAAAATTACAGCAAAGTACCACAAAGGAACAATCTGGGGCAGGGGACATAGGGACCTCAGTGTGTCCCTGCAGGCTTGGGCAGGGGGACAAGGAGGAAGCAATACAGAGCCACCAGGCTATGCCTGCCCATCTATTCACGTGTGCATTCACCCTGTCCCCTGAGTTCACCCCAGGGCAACTCCCCTGTGGAGATCATTAATTACAGAGTTAATTGCGGGCCACTTACAGGGTAGGGATCTTCTGGGTGTCACCGGAATATAGACACTCCATCCTAGGGGAGGCTCCTGCATGGAGAAACTGAGGCAAGGACAAGACCACACGGTGGCACCGTCTCCTGGGATAAAGGGAGGGCAGCTTTTGGCAGTGAGTTAGCTGTGTCAGCACGGGGCAGGGGAGCTGTCCCATATCTCTTTTCCCCCTGCCCCTCCTCCCCCCCCAGAAGAAAATAATCATGGTGGGAGGGAGGGAGGGAGGAGCTGTACCCTACAGTGGTGGTGCTGAGCAAGGCATGCTCATCACCGTGGGCCTCAAGACAGAAGTAGAGGGGGGGGGGGGTGTGTGTGTGCTCGGATGTACACACATGCTAATAGACCCAGGTGACAGGCACCCACTGGGGCTCAGCCCGCAGGTGCTCCATGGCCTCTCGCAGCTGCCCAAAGGTGTGTTCCAGGTTGTCGTTGGTCAGACTCAGGTCAAAGTAATGGCTGTAGCCATGCTGTATGCGACTGCTCTCCTCTACTGTCCGCCGGGCGTCAGCCTCCTGCCCACACCAGTGCTGCCTCAGTTTCCTCACTGATTCCACCTCCCCACTCCCACTGCACTGTGCCCCTTGTCCCAAGCACCCACCGAGAGCTGCTTGATAGCCACGCCACTCTCCAGTGCTGCACGGTTCATGGCCCGCAGGGTTTCGGCACTGGGAGCTTCGATGAAGACCACATAGGGCACAAATTCTGCTGTCCTGAGCACCTTCACTGCCTGTAGGGAAATGGGGTGGGGCTGAACCCTGCAGACCTCCCCTTAGTCCTCCTCGTTCAGGTGCTGCTTACCTGTGGGTTGACATCCAGGATGCACATCTTGCCAGCGTTCACCACAGCACGAATGGAGTCAATCTTGGTGCCGTAGAGGTTTCCCTCATACTCGCCGTGCTCCAGATAGTGACCTGCCTTGATGTCTGCCTCCATCTCACCCCGTGATACGAAGTGGTACCCATGCCCATCTTTCTCGCTGTCCTTGGGCTTCCGTGATGTGTCTGCCCGCAATGTCACCCTGAGCACCCAATGCCAGCCCACCCTGGGAGGTCCCATTCAGTACATGGTGATGGTAATGGGGCTGTGACACAACTGCATGGGGCTGGGTTATAGTGCTACTCATGGGGGACAGTGCTGCTCTTAGGGGATGGTAATGTACGTGGGGAGGCAGTAATGCTTTTATAGGCTAGTGATATTCGAAGAGAACAGTGATTATACCTGAAGGTGACCATGCTCATGGGGGACAGCAGAGTATTGAGAAGACAAAATGCCTTTAGGGAGGTGGCAGTGTTTTAGGGGACCATAATAGTCATTGGAGGAAAGTGCCACTTGTGGATGACATGGGGACACTCACAGGGGATGGTGGTGCCGTAGCGCGCTTGGTCGAACATGATGAGCTTGTTCTTGAGGCTGCGTCGCCCCACGCCCTGGGCACCGATAAGCACTAGGGTTTTCCTTCGGAAAGGTGGCATGCGGGCCACCTCCTCATAGATCAGCAGCTCATGGCGGTCAAACTCTGTGCAAGGGACAGACACTAACTGTGTGCCATGGGGATCCCAGCACAAGGGACTAGTCTAGGGACTGTTCCCTAGGGATCCTCACCTGCGTTCTTTGTGGTCAGGTACATCATCCTCTTCTTCCTTCTCCCACTGAGGCTGCTGCACAGGGCCCCTGCTGAGGGCATGAGGCTGGCTATGCCAACCAAGGCTAGGGACAGCACCAGGGCACAAGGACATTGCTATGGGAGCTGGGGACCCGCAGTGGGGCAGGGAGCTTCATACCAGATGTGGGGGCCACCTCCAAGTCTCGCTTCACGAAGGCTTTTCGCTTCTCCTCCAGCAGCTGGCTAGGGATAAGTCCCGCACTGCCTCCTTCCACATGGCATGCCTGAGGGGGACAGTGTGGTACGTGGGGATCCCATGTCCCCACAAACCCTCCCCATACTGCACTGCTAGGGGAAGCACAGTATGGCACATTGAGGTATTCCTCCCCAACCTCAAGCTCCCCCGCCCCCCCCCAAAAAAGCAGCAACAACACCCCCTCAGCAGCCCCTAGGCTGCTGGGAGAAACTGGACTGGGAGCCAAGGGACAACAATGCTCAACTCTTACCTGCCACCAGTTGGGATCATCCTGGTTGACAATCTGCAGAAGGTCTCCGGCAGCAAAGCGTAGCCCAGCCTCCTTGCAGGGAATGAGGCTGTCGGAAGCTGGGTCATAGTCAAAGTGGCACTTCACAAAGACCTGGGGAGAACGGGGGTCACCAGAAACACGGGAGCCATACATGGGTGTCATGCTCCTGGCTTCCTGCAGCACTGTGCCTCAGTTTTCCTAGCACTATGCACACTCACACATGCACATACACACATGTCCTCCCCGCCACTTGGTGCAGGCAGGCGTGCAGGGCAGCCATGCACACACAGGCAGCACCCAGGGCAGCACCCAGACACCACAGCAGTCCTAGGGCAGTGCCTGCACACAGCCCTGCACCTACACACAGCCCTGCACCCAGGCACAGTGCAGCCACAGTGGCACACATTTGTGCATGGGTGTGCAACGGCAGTGTCCAATCCCTGGCTGGGCAGGAAGTGTGCACACAGGCAGCAGCATGATGCTTGGGGACACACAGTGCCAGGCGGTGCAGTCCCAAAGGACCTGCTGACAGTGCTTCTTTGTTCCTCTCTGGGCGACAGCATGCAGCTGATGTGGTACAGGGTAGGGAACACAGCAGCCAAGTTCCGCTGTGGGGAGGGGAATGGAGTCAGATGAGCGACACTGCAGCCACCACGGGTAGGAGTGGGGTGCCCTTGTGGGTGCCCAGAGTGCAGGACACAAAGAGGCAGTGGGACCTCAAACTATGAGACACTCCCAGCTGGTTCGCAGGGGACGTGAAGCTCAGGGAGCTGGAGACATAGGACACAAAAGCATGAGTAGATGGGACACAGGGTACATGGCAAAGGAACAGGTGATGCTTGGGTATAGGGCATGAGCACAGTGAAAATGGAAGCATGGGGACAGCACAGAGGTGGAAACAATGTCGGCATAACGCAGTGGGACTCATAGGCATGGAGGCTCATGAGCTATAGGCAAGGGAACTGGTGCAAGGTGCAACATGCAGAGTACAGATATAGGATGTAAATGTGAGTACCTGCCGGGGTGGGTGTGGCTCCTGGTAGCTGGGCAGGATCTTGAGGACGACGCTACCACTGGCATGGCGCAGGCTGTCCTGCAGCACCCGTGGGTCGCTGCCCACCTCCTGCCCATTCACCTCTCGGATGACATCCCCTACGTGCAGCAGCCCCTGCTGGGCCACCATGCCCCCATGCAGGATGCGGGCAATCACCAGCTCCCCCCGCTCCACTCGGAACGTCACTCCCTGGGTGGAACAGTCCCACATCAGCTCTGACAGCAGTCACCTCACTTCACTGCCCCAGCACCGGTGATTTCCCCAGTATCCTGCAGTGTTCCCACTACCATGCAATATCTTCAGAACCATCCAAGGTATCCGTGCAATGCTCTCAGTAATATCCTGACATCCTGCAGTGTCTCCAGCACCCAGCAATTTCCCCAGTACCCTGCAGTGTCATTAGCACTGTGCAATGCCCCCAAGTATCCAAAAATTCCCCAAGCAATGCCGTCAACACCCATTAATGCCCCCCTGCAACTTTAATTGCCCCCAGCACTCAGTGAAGTCCTCAGCATCATGCAATTTCCCCAACACCCTGCGATTCTCCGAAATTATATGATGTTCCCAGCACTGTGTAATGCCCTTGCAATGCTTCCAGCAATGCACCTTGCACCTTACATTGCCCCCAGCATTGTCCTGATCCAGCTTACCAGATTCTCTCCAGCTGTCTTGCGAATGCCCACCATACGCACAGCGTCGGGGGGCACAGGCTGGTTGCTGAAGGTTGTATCCAGAACAGGGCTGGGCGGAGGTGTCTCATAGCTCTTGGAGGCCACTGAGTCATGGGTCTCCAGCAGGGACTGCAAGGTGCACAGCTGTCATACATTGTACACACGCACCTTGCACATGTATGGGGTTTGCACAAGCACCTTGCATGCACAGGGCTTGCATGCCTCCTGCCACACCTGGAAGTGGGGCTCACGCAGGATGCGGGCCAGCTCGGCTGCTGTGCTGTCCTGCTGCACCAGGTGCCCAAGGTCATGCAGGATCTCCTGCACCAGCTCCACGTTGTTATCCCGCACTGCCTCCAGTTTTGTCTCCTCCAGTCGCTCATGGGCCTAGGGTGGGGGTAAGGGACTCCTGCTGCCAGTGGTTCCCACATTTGTATCCACATGGTGCACACACATGCATGCATGTACACTGTGCACATACACTTACGTCCACATGCACCCTCTGCACAGGCACAGAGCCCTGCATTCACATGTGTAAATTCACCTGTTTGGATGCACATCTGCACCCAGCCTTTCATGCACACTACCACACCAACCTGTGCATGCATGTGGCAGTGCACACATGCATATACAAATACAAACACATTGTGCTGAACATGCAGGACATGGTCAATCACATGCACCCCATAAGCACAGTCAGCAATTGGCACACGTGTGAATACTCCACCTTCTACACCACCTCTCCCCACTCATACCCAGCCCCCTCTCGCTGCTCCCCAACTCCATATACAGCTGCAGCACAGGACCCTCATACACATCTGTGTACACGCACTGCATGCACATGTACTTCCATGCATGCACACAGACACATGTGTGAGCATAAACACACCTCCCTATGTGTACACGTATATGCATGCACCCATACAAGTGCATTCTCACACGTGCATGCACACAGATGTGCATACCTTCTCATCACACAGATGCATTTGTGCATACGTATGCAAGCAGACACAAATGTGCATCTTCATCTGTGCAACACACACACACACACACACGCACACACACTTGTGCCCATTCACACTCACCCATCCACACACCTCCATTCTCCCACATCCCCTCCTTTCCCCATGCTTCAAGGTGACAGGAGGAACATAGTGCTACCAGTTCCCTGCACCACTGTACCTTTGCCAAGGACCTTACTATTGGGCTCTCCATGATGCCGCGGAGGAAGATGAGATCAAGGTCAGCAGCACCTGGGGCACTGGGGAGGCCCAGGAGGTTGTCGAGGACTTGCTGCATGGCTGGGGACATGGGGATGTGGGAACACAGGGATACAGGGACTCAGGAACAGTCAAGGGAGCGGGACAGGGACAGATTTAGGGTCTCCATATCCCCCTCACCTCACCCCAGGGTACTTGATGGTGTGGTGTGATGGGATGCTCTGCTTCAGTGGGGGCTAGTGGCTCTACGCCATGTCCCCCCTCCCACCCATGCCTCATTGCCCCACTGCAATTAGCACAGCATCTCTTTGCAAAGGGCTGCCTTCCCAATTTCCCACCTATTGTTGCAGGAGGCTGAACTGTCCCTCCAGCCCCCTCAGCGGGGGCAACAAGGAGAACCTGCCTCCAAAAGACACCAAAAAACATCACTGGGGGGGGGGGGGGGGGGGGGGGGGGAGTTACATTGGGAAAGGAGGGAACTCCTCAAAACCCCCTGGAGGCGTATTCCCCACACACAGTTCATGCAGCAGCAGGCAGGTCTGCAGTGCAACTGGCAGGATGCAGTAAAGCCCGGAGGGGAGGAGGTTTGCAAGACAACCAGGCAGTGCAAACAAGAGATGGCAGGGTGAGGGGCAGGGGGCAGGTTGGGGGGTTGGTTGGGGATGGGGAACGACACAGCACTACAAATGAGAAGACTGCAATGCATACACGGGAATGTAATACATCTGAGGAGTACAATTTAACCAGATGGTGTGATGCAATCAGTGAGGGGACTGCAATGCAAACAAGGGCTTGCGATTCAGCAGGGAGCGCTTGCAATGGAAGGAGAGGCTGCATGCAATGGCGGGCGAGGCTTGAAAAGCAGATGAAAAAGGAGGAAAGAGGGGAGGTGTTGCTCCCAAATATCCCTCACTCCACACCTAGGGGGAATCACAGCATGACCCAGGAGATCACCTTCCTTTGCCCCACTCCACCCCCCCTACCCCTGCCCCCAGCTTACCCCTAGTGCATCCCACAGCCACCAGCCCCCGCACAGCGTCACATTCTGACCCAACCTCCGCGCCCGGGGATTCACCCTACCTTGGGGACCCAACGGGGTGCCGGGGCCAGACGGCGAAGCCCCAGGTTTGGGGCCGCTGTTCATGGCTACAGGCAGCAGAGCCCGGCCTCCTGCCCGCCTCCTGCCCAGATCCGGGTACCGCAGCCCCCGCCTGTGCCTGCTGCACCCCGAGCCTCGGCCGCAGCACACGGGTTGTTCAACAGGAGCATGGACATGCAAAGGGAGCACGGGCGTGCAGAAGTTGCATGGATGTGCAAAAGGAGCATGAATCCTCTGCTACGTGCTCACTGCCTCAATCATGGCATGTGGAAAGCCCACATGTGCATGCAGAGTGCATGCTTGCACACGTGTCCCTGTACACAGCATACACATTAATGGAGATGTGTGTATTCTCATACACCTGTGTGATTGTCTCTGTACAAGTATAATCATGTTGCTGTCCACACCTCCCTCTGCATGCTCACACATGTACATCTATGTGTGCAACCATGTGAGCATCAGTGTTCAAGCACAAGACCTGTGTGTACTCATACACTTGTGCACAATGTGAACAGCTGTGTGCATTCAAAAGCACATCTAATATGCCCCTGATATGCACACACGTGTGCACAGTCCTGGTCAGCTACAAGCCCGCAAACCTGAGACGCTCACATGCATGTGCGTACCCATGCCCCCACCAGTGCATGCTCACATGAATGTAAACTCGTGCACATGCAGACACATGCCTCCCTTTGTGCCCTCACACTTGTGTCCACACACGCCATGCATGTTCACGTGCAGATCTGCATGTTCATACCCTGTGCATGCCTCCCCTGCTTGCACATGCCCTTGCACACTCACACTCTCCCCCCATGTGCTCACCCGTAGGAGCCCCCCCGCTCACTGCCACGCACCTTCCCGGGGATTCGGGTGGGGGAGGACGGCGTGTCCCCTTTAAGGGGGGCAGGTGACGTTGCCATGGCAGCCGGGGGACGGGCCAAGAGCTCCTTACTGGTGAAGGGGGCACGGATTTAAAGGGGCCGCACAGTGCCCAACTTCCCCCTCTCCCACCTCGAGCCCCTCACATGGATGTGGTATCCTCCCTTATGCACGCACGGTGAAATGCTGTCTGTTCACACCCGGAGCTCACTGGGGCAGGGACAGGCACACTTAAACGTTATGCACACACACGTTCACGTGCAAATGCTCTACCCACATGTGCCCACACACGAGAGCCTCCCCCCCACTCTCCCCTACACCCCACCCATTCTCCAGCCTAGAAGCAAAACGATGTGTCACCCTACATGATATCCCAGCATCGGTATGCCCAGCACCAGTTTTCCCAGCTGCCACCTGCTGAACAAAACATACTGCAGGCTCTGCTCCACGCATGCATGGTCATGTAGAGGCTCTTGTGTGGCACGACCGTGCACCACGGGAAAAGGGGGATGGTGTAACTGGCTTCATAGTGTGGGAATCAAATGTTGTTTCTGCATTAGAATTGGATAATTTTTTTTTTTTTTTATTTCATGATCTCCACTATCCACTTAACCTACCCACATTCCGTGCAGCCATGGAAAAATCACATTTCCCTCAGCACATGGGAGTCCAGCCTTAGTTACCAGCTGCTGGTTGCCCATCACACATATCCACATATACACCCACTGTATGTGATGGCACCACAGAGCGCTCTCAGAGGTTCTTAGTGCACCCTGGAGTGCCATATTGTGGCCCATGGAGCTCAGGGAGTCATCTGGCGTGGCCCAGAATTTACTGGGACATACTTGTACTACAGTAGAGTATACTGGAAAGCCTTTAGTGAACCCTTGAGCATCCCGAAGAATTCTGGGAATATTGTAGGATGCCCCAGAGTCCACTTAGGAATTCGTGGAAGCCTCTAGAACAGACTAAGAAGTTTCTAGGGCAGCTTAGAGAACACAGATAAACTCTGGGATTTCATTAGCGTGCCTTAAAGTACATTAGGGAGGCCAGGCTCCACCCCTTCCGGCAGCACAGGTGAATTGCCTTCACCTGTGCTCCTCTGGCTGGCTCATTGCTCGCCTCAGGTGATCAATCAGAGGTTCAGGCCATGACTCAGCAGTTCCCATACAAGAGCCCAGCTGGAACATCGGCTTGCAAAACAAGTCTTCGCAAGAACAATACCAAATACCATGGATAGCTCTCTCTACAAAACACTTGCAGCCACAGCCACAAATATCAACTCCCTTAAAACTGCCAAAATACCTTATTCAATTCCAGGATCATTCTTCAGTCAGGGGCCATTAGGTCCCCAGTATAACACCCAACAACGTCACTGCCAGTGTTCACTCCCTGATGTCACCCACCCTTCCTCCCCCAAAAGCCCCAACATCACCCATGCCACTACAATGACACTTCAGAATCACTCTCCAGTGTCACCCCAATGTCACTTCCAGAGTCGTGCCAACAATGTCACCCCCCAACATCACAGTAAGTCACCCCAGTGTCTCCATCGAGTATCTCTCTCTCTGAATTCCCCCCCCTCCCCTCCCCCCCACCCGCAATACCCCAGCATCACCCCCCAGCGTCACTCTCCAGGCTCAGTCCACAACTTCACCCCAGTGTCATCCCAGCATCACTCCATGGCATCACCCCAACTTGCTTGCCAAGTAAGCAAGGCTTGGGACAGCAGCTCTTAGCGGGGCTGTATAAGCTTTCAGACACCGACAATCGATTGTTAATCATCACCTTCCATCTGGTTTCCAAACCGGATGACAACGAGTTATGTGGGGAGTCTGTTCTGGAAACGATTTGTCTTTTCTCCAAACCTGCTATGAGTTCAGAAATCACACATCATGCTGCAGCAGAAATGGGGTACAGTGGTATGTTAGCGACCCCTGCTTCAGGGAGCACAGGGGCTGCGTAAAGTGCACACGCTGCAGTCTCCCTATTTCTTTGGAGTCTGGGATTGAAACTTGACCCAAAAGGCCACACACTGCCATACAGGCAGGTGCCAGATTCACCCACTGATTATGTCAAATCCTGAATTGTTTTCACAATGGGCTTTAATTACAAAGAAAGTAGGCGACACGTTTCTCACTGGAGAGCCACAAGCTGTCCCCACTAGTTTGGCAAACAGCGCTCGCTCCGATCACACCGGTAATCTCAACTCTGCCATCGAGGCTGCACACACAGCTTTTCAGCATCTTGCTGTATCAGTACTGAAATTTGTGTGCTGTATCAGTACTGAAATTTGTGCTCCCCTATCTATCAAAAATTTTACTGAATGCTTTTGAGGACAGACTTCAATCAAAATATGCATGCCATTGTTGCTCATCCTTTGATCAAACTCCCCTTGCTGGACAGGCAGATCCAATCACCTGCTTGTAATTAGTCTTTTTTTGTTGTTGTTTACAGTCTGAAGCAGTGATTGAGCACCTGGTGAGGGGTGTGGCCAGCCCTGCCAGCACAGGTGGAAGCAATCTACCTGTGGGACCGGATAGGGCTGAGCTTGGCTCCACCCCCTCCCTGCCCATATTTAAGGGCTGGGAACAGCAAGGGCAGCATTCTGCTTGGGAGCTGCCTCCTTGGGATCATTGGAAGCAAGTTCTGCTCTTTGGAATTGGGGTGAGTGATTGATGCTTTGTTGCAGGGCTCTGGTCTTTCTGTTTTTGGGATCCTAACTGCTTTTAAAGGTAGAAAGCTGTAAGGGCAGCACCTCTGCACGGAGACTGCTTCCTTTGGGGTGTGGGCTGAGTGTTTGCTTTTGGAATGGGGTCATTGGTTTCTTCTTTATCGCTGGATTGTAATTTTACTTTCTGGAGGGCTCCTGACCATGTTTAAGGTCTGTCAGCAGAAAGAGCGGCAACTGCACCTGGAGACTGCTTCCTTTAGAGCGTAGGGTGAACCCTTGAAACAGGGTGAGTGATTCTTTATTCCAGAGTTGCAATATCTTGTTTTTGGGAGGATCCTGACTCCACTTAGGGGCTGGTAGCCTTTAAGGTGGTATCCATCTTTAGAGACTGTCTTCTTGGGAGTGTGGGGTGAGGTCTGGTCCTTAAGAAAAGATGAGTGATTCCTTCTTATTTTAAGGCTGTGACCTTTCCCTTTTGGTTTTTGGGGCATCCTGACCACATCTAAGTGCTGACAGATGTAAGGGCAATGTTGATCTCCGGAGACTGTCTCCTGTGGAGCATGAGTGAGTTTTGGCCTTTGAGAAGGGTGTAAGTGGTTTCTTCTTCATTTCAGGGCTGCAATCTTCCCTTGTGTGTTTTGTGTGTGTGTTTTGTTTTTGTTTTTTATAGTATCCTGACCACTTTTAAGGGGTGGAAGCCATAAGGGTAGCATCTCTACCTGGAGACTACTTCCTTGGCAGTGTGGGCTGAGTGTTCATCTGTGGAATGGGGTAACTTACTCTTCCTTTATTTCAGGGCTGTTATGCACTGCTTCCAACCATGCAGAGTTGTTTAAGGGCATTCTGTGCACCCTTAGGTGTAATAAGTCTTCATCTTTATAGGAAGCCAAGGTTTGTCCTCTTCTGGACCGCTGTACTCAGCATCACCCCAGATATCTCCATCCTAATTGTCTGGAGATGCTGTTAGTTTCCTAATCTGTATGACACCCAAACCCCAATTCCTCTTCCTCCCACCCCCTGACCTGCATTCAATGCTCTGCAGCTCTGGTTCCCAACAGCGTGATGAAGTGAAGCCCCTGCTCTGCTGAATACTGGGACTGGCTCAGAGAGGCTCTGTGACGGATGTGGATTATCCCAGCTGGAGCACCTGGTACCATTGGTGGTGATCTCGTCCAACTGCCACACAACGAACAGGAACATCCACAGCCAGATCAGTGTCCAGAGCCTGACCCAGCCTCACCTTGGAAGGGACAGGGCATTCATCATGTCTGGGTAATCTGTTCTGCTGTGTCACCACCATCACTGTACAAGATTTTCTTCATATCTAGGCTAAATCTTTCCTTGTTCTTCCCTTCAGGTGTTGAAAGGCTGTTACCAGATCACCTCAGAGCCTTCACTTCTGCAGGCTGAACAGCTCCAGCTCTCTGTCTTTATAGGAAAGGCGTTCCATCCCTCGGTTCATATCTGTGGCCATTCTCTGGATGTGCTCCAACAGCTCCACGTCTGTCCTGCACTGCAGGCATCCACATCCACACACAGCACCTCCAGGTGAGGCCTCCCAGCGCAGAGCAGAGGGGCAGGACCGCCTCCCTTCGCCTGCTGACCGCACATCTTTGGATGGAGCCCAGCATACGGTTGGCTTTCTGGGCTGGAAGGCGCGTTGCTGAGTGCCACTACTCAGCCTGTTGAGGTCCCTCTGGATGGCATCCCGTCCCTCTGGTGTGTCACCGCACCCCACAGCTCGGTGTCATTAGGGTGCACTCCACCCCACTGTCAATGTCGCTGATGAAGGGGCAATCCCAGATGTTTGCGCAAACTCAGCAAAGAACACCTTGAGAGCAGCCCCACAGAGAAGGATTTGCAGATCCTGGTGGATGAGAAGCTGGACGTCAGCCAGCAGAGCGGGCTTGCAGCCTGGAAGGCCAGCTGTGTTCTGGGCTGCATTAAAAGAGGAGCGGCCAGCAGGGAGAGGGAGGCGATCGTCCCCATCTACTCGGCTCTTGTGAGGCTTCATCTGCAGTGCTGCATCCAGGCCTGGGGCCCCCAGCACAGGAAGGACGTGGAGCTCACGGAGCGGGTCCAGAGGAGGCACTGAGATGATCGGATGGTTGGAGCAGCTCTCCTACAAGGAAAGGTTGAGGGAAGTGGGCTTGTTCAGCCTGGAGAAGAGAAGGCTTGGGGGGGACCTCGTTGCAGCCTCACAGTACTTGAAAGGGGGAACAGCAGGAAGGGGAACGGCTGTTTACGAGGGTGGATTGTGATAGGACAAGGGGAATGGTTTTAATCTGAGACAGGGGAGTTTTAGGTTGGTTATTAGGAGGAAGCTTTTCACACAGAGGGTGGTGACGCACTGGAACGTGCTTCAGAGTCACTTCCAGGAGGATCTGCTCCGTGTTTTTTTGCAGCACAGAGGTGAGACTGACATGTTGGCAATTCCTAGGGTCACACTTTATATCTGCAGTAATAGCTGTGCTGTCGCCTTTTTTCTGCTCACCAGGGACTTCACCTGACTGCCTCGACTTCTCAAGTACCACTGAGAGTGGCTCGGTGACTGCAGCACTGAATTCCCTCAGAGCTCTGGGACTCGTCTCATCAGGACCCAAAGACTCCTGGATGCTCGGGTCCTCAGGTGGTCCAGAACCTGATCTCACATCACAGTGTGGGATAGGGAGGGGTCTGTGGGATCGGCATTGCTTCCTCAATCCCCACCTACCAAACCAAAGGTGAGGGAGGTGTATAATGAGCAGTTATCAGAGAAGATGGAAGATGGATGTTGTTGGGTACCTGAGCCTTCTCCTTGTCTGTTGTTCCCAGCTCAGTGCTGCTGGTAAGCAGCATCGTGCGCAGAGCACAGCCACGTTGATCAGAGAAAGGAGTGCAGGTTTGTGAAAGATGCACATCTGCAGGGCAGTGCCTTCATTACTGCGTTGTGCCCCACAGGTGGCAGCAGGCTGCGGCACTCCCGAGTGCCGTAACGACCGCATGGAGATGCGTGGCTCTTATGGGAACAGCAAGGAACCGGAATCTGCATTTCCTGGAATGCCCGGAACCCCGCTTTGCTGGCTGGTAATTGTCTGCCCAGCAGGTAAGGGCAATGCACACCCACCAGTGTTTACCCATTCCCTAGCATGGCACAGCACGGTGCTCCCACAGCTCTTCATTGCACTTCGTGGTGCCCTGGATGCTGCCTGTCCTTTTCTTTCTGTGTTCTCCTCGTCTCCGGCCTTTCACTGCAGCGTTTTCATTCCCTTTGCCCCTGCTGTTCCCTACTCCATTCTCTTGCCCTCCTGTTTTTGTGTTCCATGCCACGTTCTCTTGGCTGCTGCCCTTGGCTTTCTTTGCCGCATTCACTTCAGCATTCAGTTTTGGCGTTCCGTGCCGCGTTCTCTCGCCCTCCTGTTCTGGCATTTCCTTCCATGTTCTCTTAGCCGTTGCCATTGGTTGGGCATCCTCTTGTCCTCCTGTTTTTGTGTTCCACGCTGGGTTCTCTTGGCCGCTGCCCTTGGCTTTCTTTGCCATATTCACTTCAGCATTCAGTTTTGGCGTTCTCTGCTGCGTTCTCCTGCCCTCCTGTTTTGGCGTTTCTTGCCGTGTTCTCTTGGCCATCATCCTTGGCATTTCCTTCCACGTTCTCTTGGCCCTTGCCCTTGTCTGGGCATTCCCTTGCCCCCCTGTTATTGTGTCCCATGCTATGTTCTCTTGGCCATTGCCCTTGGCTTTCTGTAGCCACATTCTCTTCACCATTTGATTTTGACGTTCCCGGCAGCGTTCTCTTGCCCTCCTGTTCTGGCACTTCCTGCCATGTTTTCTTAGCCCTTTCCTGGGCATTCCATGCCGTGCTCCCTTGGCTTTCTGTTTTGGCGTTTTGTGCTGCGTTCTTTTGGCCATTGCCCTTGGCCTTTCCTGCTGCAGTCTCTTTGGCTGTATATTTTGGCCTTTCCTGTTGCGTTCTCTTTGCCCTCCCCTTGGCTTTCCATTGGTGCTCTCTTTGCTTTTGCCCTTGCCTTAGCTTGGCTGTTTGCTTTGCATTTACCTTGGCTTTCCACGGGAGTTCTGCTTTCCTTTGCCTGCCCTGGGTGTCCTGCTTCCCTTTGCCTTTGGCACTCTAGCGTGAGCTGGGAGGCAGCGTTAATGTTACCCTTGACCTAAACCCACAGCTGAATGGGAGTTCTAACGATAACTGTGTTAACCTGCAGCGTATCTGTAGACCAAACCCTTAACCCAGTGTTGAAAATGTCTCTTACCCTGAATGCTGCTGTAAAAATAATGCCCCATGTTTTGTCAAATAACCCTAATTGTAGTGCAGAATACTGATGTTAGACCAACTGTAACTTCAACCCTATCAATAGCATTAATTATATCCCTAATGTTAATTGTAATTATAATTAATTACAACCCTTGTGTCATCATTACAGCATTGTGCTCAGGGTGCAGCCCCACACATGCGGGGCAGCGCCTTCATTACTGCGTTGTGTCCCACAGGTGGCAGCGGAGTTGCGTTGCTCCTGAGCGCTGTAAGGACAGCACGGAGATGCGCGGCTCTTCAGGCAGCAGCAAGGAACCGGAATCTGCATTTCCTGGGATGCCCGGAACCCCGCTTTGCTGGCCGGTAATTGTCTGCCCAGCAGGTAAGGGCGATGCTCACCCACCGGTGTTTACTCATTACTTAGCGAGGCACAAGGTAGGGTTCACAGAGCTCATTTCTGCACTTCGCGGTGCCCTGGATGCTGCCTGTCCTTTTCTTTCTGTGTTCTCCTCACCTCCAGCCTTTCACTGCAGCATTCTCCTTGCCCTTGGCTTTCCCTGCTGCGTTCTCTTGCCCTCCTGTTTTGCCGTTCCCTGTGGCATTCTCTTGGCCGTTTGCCCTTGGCCACCTTCACTGCGTTTTCTTTGGCCTTTGGCTTTGGCCATCTGTGCCACATTCCCTTGGCCTTTGTCCTTGGCCTTCTTTGCCACGTTCACTTTCCCTCCCGTTCTGGCGTTCCCTACAGCATTATTTTGGCCTTCAGTTCTGGCGTTCGTGGCTGCGTTCTCTTTGGCCGTTGTCCTCGGCCTTCTTTGCCCCATTTCCTTTGGCCTCCTGTTCTGGCGTTCCCTGCGGCGTTCTCTTTGGCTTCTATTTTGGCGTTCCCTTCCATGTTCTTTTTGGCCATTGCTCCTGGCCTTCTTTGCCCATTCCCTTTGGCCTCTTGTTTTGTCTTCTCCTACAGCATTCTCTTTGCCTTTGGTTTTGGCCTTTTGTGCCGCATTCTCTTTGGCCATTGCCCTTGACCTTCTGCATCGGCCTTCCCTGCAGCGTTCTCACGGACCTCGCCCTCCATTTTGGCCTTCTGCGTTGATCTCTTTGGTCTCCATTCTGGCGTTCTCTGCGGCCTTCTCCTTGGGCCTGACCTCTGACGCGACCTTTGGCGTTCTCCATGTCTTTCCCATCCCTTTACCCTCCGTTTTGGCGTTCCCTCGGCTGTTCTCCTAGCCTTTTGCTCCTGCCTTTGCCTTGGCCTTCCCTAACGGTCACTCTAACCCTAATCCTGATGTACCTAACCCTAACACCTTTCCTGTTAAATACTCCTAACCTTACTCTGAAGCCTTTTCTTGGAGCGGTGTTTGGCTTCCACGTTTTGTGGGGGTGGGCTGACGGTGAGCACAGTTTGGGTCTCGGCGTTCCTCCTTCTAAAGCGTGTCTCTGTATTACAGGTGAAGATGCCTTCGACGCTTCCAGTCGATGACTTCCCCCCTGCGACGCCATTGGCTTTCCAGGCCTCCCACACTCACCGCCAGCTCGGTTCGGTCCAGCCGTTACCCGAATCCCCGCTCCGTTCCCTTTCCATGATCTTCCCGTCACTCTGCCACAAGCCCCTACCAAGGTCATCGCAGGCAGCGTGTGGGATGCGGCGCTCGGTCTCATTACAGTTCATCCCATCGGCCTCAGCCCAGCGATCCAACCCACCCGCACCCTTCCTGAGGGCCCTTCTGCTCCCAGGCCAATCAACGCTTCCTTCTGATGCCATCTGAGTTCCCTCCAGGCCACTTTCAGACTCATGCCCCTTTGTGGCCATTTTGAGAGTTGCGCTGATTTCAGCATGTGCATTCAATTGGCTTCTTCAACCAAATTGGCTTTAGCTTTACATTCAATTGCCTTCAACCAAATTGGCTTTAGCCTTGCATTCAATTGCCTTCAACCAAATTAACTTTAGCTTTACATTCAATTGACTTCAACCAAATTGGCTTTAGCTTTACATTCAATTGACTTCAACCAAATTGGCTTTAGCTTTACATTCAATTGACTTCAACCAAATTGACTTTAGCTTTACATTCAATTGGCTTCAACCAAATTGGCTTTAGTTTTACATTCAATTAATGTAAGCCAAATTGGCTTTAGCTTTGCCTTGGTTACGGGGTTGGGCTAGCCTTGCTTTGTTTGTTCCTAGGCAGGGCTAACCCAACCCCGTAACCAAGGGCCGTTGGAGGCGATTTTGTTCCTTCCGGCCAGTCTGAGACTCGCGCCCCATTGCGGCCATTTTGAGAGTTGCGCTGATTTCAGCATCTGCGTTCAACTTATCTGAACCGAATTGGCTTTAGCCTTGCAATCATTTTGCATCAACCAAATTGGCTTTGGCTTTGCATTAAGTCTATTTCAACCAAATTGGCTTTAGCTTTGCATTCAATTGACTTCAACCAAATTGGCTTTAGCTTTACATTCAATTGGCTTCAACCAAATTGGCTTTAGCCTTGCATTCAATTGGCTTCAACCAAATTGGCTTTAGCTTTACATCCAATTAATGTAAGCCAAATTGGCTTTAGCTTTGCCTTGGTTACGGGGTTGGGCTAGCCTTGCTTTGTTTGTTCCTAGGCAGGGCTAACCCAACCCCGTAACCAAGGGCCGTTGGAGGCGATTTTGTTCCTTCCGGCCAGTCTGAGACTCGCGCCCCATTGCGGCCATTTTGAGAGTTGCGCTGATTTCAGCATCTGTGTTTAATTTATCTCAACCAAATTGGCTTTAGCCTTGCAATCATTTTGCATCAACCAAATTGGCTTTAGCTTTGCATTCAATTGGCTTCAACCAAATTGGCTTTAGCCTTGCATTCAATTGACTTCAACCAAATTGGCTTTAGCTTTACATTCAATTGACTTCAACCAAATTGGCTTTAGTTTTACATTCAATTAATGTAAGCCAAATTGGCTTTAGCTTTGCCTTGGTTACGGGGTTGGGCTAGCCTTGCTTTGTTTGTTCCTAGGCAGGGCTAACCCAACCCCGTAACCAAGGGCCGTTGGAGGCGATTTTGTTCCTTCCGGCCAGTCTGAGACTCGCGCCCCATTGCGGCCATTTTGAGAGTTGCGCTGATTTCAGCATCTGCGTTCAATTTATCTCAACCGAATTGGCTTTAGCCTTGCAATCATTTTGCATCAACCAAATTGGCTTTGGCTTTGCATTAAGTCTATTTCAACCAAATTGGCTTTAGCCTTGCATTCAATTGACTTCAACCAAATTGGCTTTAGCCTTGCATTCAATTGGCTTCAACCAAATTGGCTTTAGCCTTGCATTCAATTGGCTTCAACCAAATTGGCTTTAGCTTTACATCCAATTAATGTAAGCCAAATTGGCTTTAGCTTTGCCTTGGTTACGGGGTTGGGCTAGCCTTGCTTTGTTTGCTCCTAGGCAGGGCTAACCCAACCCCGTAACCAAGGGCCGTTGGAGGCGATTTTGTTCCTTCCCGGCCAGTCTGAGACTCGCGCCCCTTTGTGGCCGTTCTGAGAATTGCAATGTCTTTGGGTGGGCTGAGATCTGCACTGCTTTTGAGGTGGGTTGCAGTATGCAACATTCTCACAAGTGTGGTGTCACTAATGGGGTGTGGAGGCTTTGTACCCTTTCTCTGGTTGGTCTGACATCTATGTGAACCATGTCTTAAAGTGTACTGCGTATGCGTGTGCTGCGCCTGTAAATTGCGTCGTGCCATGTATGCAATATGTGTTAAGTTGCGCCTGTAAATTGCGTCGTGCCATGTATGCAATATGTGTTAAGTTGCGCCTGTAAATTGCGTCGTGCCATGTATGCAATATGTGTTAAGTTGCGCCTGTAAATTGCGTCGTGCCATGTATGCAATATGTGTTAAGTTGCGCCTGTAAACTGTGTTGTGCCATGTACAGAATGTGTGGATGCTGCGCCTATAAACTAAGTCTTGGAATCAGAGACCCATATTCATTACATGTTCTGCTTCTCAATGTGTAGTTGCTGGTATAGCGCGTATGTATATGATTGTATGAGTCCTGCCTTGTGGAAACAGCGCTGTAATAAACAAACAGTTAAAAAATGCACGTATGTTGTGTGTCTTGCTTTGTCACGGCAACGACTGGAAGGACACTGGAAGGTAGGTGAGAAAGGTAGGTGTGGAGGGTGGTAGACTTAGACGGGGGTTAGACTTAGACACTGGAGGTTAGACATAGACTTAGACACTGGGGGTTAGAACTTAGACTCTGGGGGTTAGACTTAGACTTAGACTCTGGGGGTTAGACTTAGACTTAGACACAGGAGGTTAGAACTTAGAATCTGGGGGTTAGACTTAGACTTAGACACAGGAGGTTAGAACTTAGAATCTGGGGGTTAGACTTAGACTTAGAATCTGGGGGTTAGACTTAGACTTAGACTTAGACACAGGAGGTTAGAACTTAGAATCTGGGGGTTAGACTTAGACTTAGACTCTGGGGGTTAGACTTAGACTTAGACACAGGAGGTTAGAACTTAGAATCTGGGGGTTAGACTTAGACTTAGACACAGGAGGTTAGAACTTAGAATCTGGGGGTTAGACTTAGACTTAGAATCTGGGGGTTAGACTTAGACTTAGACTTAGACACAGGAGGTTAGAACTTAGAATCTGGGGGTTAGACTTAGACTTAGACACTGGGGGTTAGACTTAGACTTAGAATCTGGGGGTTAGACTTAGACTTAGACTCTGGGGGTTAGACTTAGACTTAGACACAGGAGGTTAGAACTTAGAATCTGGGGGTTAGACTTAGACTTAGACACAGGAGGTTAGAACTTAGAATCTGGGGGTTAGACTTAGACTTAGAATCTGGGGGTTAGACTTAGACTTAGACACAGGAGGTTAGAACTTAGAATCTGGGGGTTAGACTTAGACTTAGACACAGGAGGTTAGACTTAGACTTAGAATCTGGGGGTTAGGACTTAGACTCTGGGGGTTAGACTTAGACTTAGACACAGGAGGTTAGAACTTAGAATCTGGGGGTTAGACTTAGACTTAGACACAGGAGGTTAGAACTTAGAATCTGGGGGTTAGACTTAGACTTAGACACAGGAGGTTAGAACTTAGAATCTGGGGGTTAGACTTAGACTTAGAATCTGGGGGTTAGACTTAGACTTAGACACAGGAGGTTAGAACTTAGAATCTGGGGGTTAGACTTAGACTTAGAATCTGGGGGTTAGACTTAGACTTAGACTTAGACACAGGAGGTTAGAACTTAGAATCTGGGGGTTAGACTTAGACTTAGACACAGGAGGTTAGAACTTAGAATCTGGGGGTTAGACTTAGACTTAGACACAGGAGGTTAGAACTTAGAATCTGGGGGTTAGACTTAGACTTAGACACAGGAGGTTAGAACTTAGAATCTGGGGGTTAGACTTAGACTTAGACACAGGAGGTTAGAACTTAGACTCTGGGGGTTAGACTTAGACTTAGACACTGGGGGTTAGAACTTAGACTCTGGGGGTTAGGGTTAGGGTTAGGGTTAGGGTTAGGGTTAGGGTTAGGGTTAGGGTTAGGGTTAGGGTTAGGGTTAGGGTTAGGGTTAGGGTTAGGGTTAGGGTTAGGGTTAGGGTTAGGGTTAGGGTTAGGGTTAGGGTTAGGGTTAGGGTTAGGGTTAGGGTTAGGGTTAGGGTTAGGGTTAGGGTTAGGGTTAGGGTTAGGGTTAGGGTTAGGGTTAGGGTTAGGGTTAGGGTTAGGGTTAGGGTTAGGGTTAGGGTTAGGGTTAGGGTTAGGGTTAGGGTTAGGGTTAGGGTTAGGGTTAGGGTTAGGGTTAGGGTTAGGGTTAGGGTTAGGGTTAGGGTTAGGGTTAGGGTTAGGGTTAGGGTTAGGGTTAGGGTTAGGGTTAGGGTTAGGGTTAGGGTTAGGGTTAGGGTTAGGGTTAGGGTTAGGGTTAGGGTTAGGGTTAGGGTTAGGGTTAGGGTTAGGGTTAGGGTTAGGGTTAGGGTTAGGGTTAGGGTTAGGGTTAGGGTTAGGGTTAGGGTTAGGGTTAGGGTTAGGGTTAGGGTTAGGGTTAGGGTTAGGGTTAGGGTTAGGGTTAGGGTTAGGGTTAGGGTTAGGGTTAGGGTTAGGGTTAGGGTTAGGGTTAGGGTTAGGGTTAGGGTTAGGGTTAGGGTTAGGGTTAGGGTTAGGGTTAGGGTTAGGGTTAGGGTTAGGGTTAGGGTTAGGGTTAGGGTTAGGGTTAGGGTTAGGGTTAGGGTTAGGGTTAGGGTTAGGGTTAGGGTTAGGGTTAGGGTTAGGGTTAGGGTTAGGGTTAGGGTTAGGGTTAGGGTTAGGGTTAGGGTTAGGGTTAGGGTTAGGGTTAGGGTTAGGGTTAGGGTTAGGGTTAGGGTTAGGGTTAGGGTTAGGGTTAGGGTTAGGGTTAGGGTTAGGGTTAGGGTTAGGGTTAGGGTTAGGGTTAGGGTTAGGGTTAGGGTTAGGGTTAGGGTTAGGGTTAGGGTTAGGGTTAGGGTTAGGGTTAGGGTTAGGGTTAGGGTTAGGGTTAGGGTTAGGGTTAGGGTTAGGGTTAGGGTTAGGGTTAGGGTTAGGGTTAGGGTTAGGGTTAGGGTTAGGGTTAGGGTTAGGGTTAGGGTTAGGGTTAGGGTTAGGGTTAGGGTTAGGGTTAGGGTTAGGGTTAGGGTTAGGGTTAGGGTTAGGGTTAGGGTTAGGGTTAGGGTTAGGGTTAGGGTTAGGGTTAGGGTTAGGGTTAGGGTTAGGGTTAGGGTTAGGGTTAGGGTTAGGGTTAGGGTTAGGGTTAGGGTTAGGGTTAGGGTTAGGGTTAGGGTTAGGGTTAGGGTTAGGGTTAGGGTTAGGGTT